GGGGAGGGGAGAGGTTTCCTCCCCCCTCCTTCCTCTCTCTCTGAAGCCTGCGATCATGTTCAAGTGATATCAGTGCTGTTGACCTTTGCTATATTGCAAGTAGTGCAGCACCTACACACACACACACACACACACACACACACACACACACACACTGCAGTCACTGCTTTTAGATAAAGAAAAAAAAAAAACAAGTTGACCCAGGATTTTTTTCTTCTTCTCGTCAACACAGGACGCTGCTGACGTCTGACCTGGAAAATACACTGAAATATATATATATATTTATATATTTGTATATTTTTATATTTGGCCCCGCAGCTAAGAGTTACTCTTAGTTAGCCAGAAGCTAGTTAGCCAAAAAAAAAAGTAGAAATTGATGTAAAATGTTTTCTTTCAAATGTATTTCAGATTTTTTTTTTTAAAAATCCAACAACATATAATTTCTAATAAAAATTACAAAAAATTTTAATTTCAATAACCAATATGATTGGTTTACGTTAGTGACATCACGGCTGGACTAACCAACCGCGGGACTACGTTAGATCGACTTTCTCTTTAGCATTAGCCTCGTTATCGTTATGTTCTTTTTAAATCAATATTTTATCTTTTTTTTTTTTTTTTACTCTTTTTTTACACCTGCTACATCGACGTAGCCTCGCAGAGAGAAAGCTAGCCTTACGCTCGGCTAACAGCTAATGGCTACCAGCTAACGTCCTCCTCCTCCACGTTTCTACAGCAGCGAACGTTACAACTTTTACTCCCAGTAAAAACATCACGGACGTTCCCTTTACTTGTGGGAGAGCGGCGAGGTGACGGCGCGGCCTCCTCCTCCTCCTCCTCCTCCTCCTCCTCCTCCTCTCCTTGTCAACCAGTCCTGTACTACATGTGATCACCTGGTCCTGGTCCAGATTAGCGGCGGAGGCAGACACGCCGCGACGCTGCGTCTCATCCAGCCTCTAAGGCGAAGTGATGTAGCGAGGCGCAGCTGCGTGCCGCTCCCCGGGCCTGTTAGCCGCGCCGCGGCGGTGAACAGCACAACTGACATCCATTATTCAGAGGCTGAGATGGCAATTACGGCTGCGAGCACAACTGACATTAATATTTAATATATTGGTCTAACACAGACCTGGAGAGAGAGAGAGAGAGAGAGAGAGACAGGAAGTGACAGAGTGACGGAGCCGGGACGGGTGTGTGTGTGTGTGTGTGTGTGTGAAGGTGGAAACAAATGGCAGAGAGATTGAATAAAGAGGATTGTGGGAGTTTGTTTCAACCACGCTGCTGTCATTTAAACTGTTACAATACCAACAGGGCAAGGGTGACATCCGGGGGAATTCCAGTATATGTGTGTGTGTGTATGTGTGTGTGTTTGAGATCACAAAAACGTCCGTTTTATTCCCAAAAGACTGACTATTTTATCGAGCCAAGAATAACAATGCTGCCGTGCAAGAGAAACACACACACTCACAAAAACACACACACACAGACGCAGTAGCTGCTGACAGGTGTAGAAATTGCTGCGAGTCAGTTAGTGCAGACAAACTGAACAACAGATCAGGTCTGGTCTCCCCCCTCTCTCTCCCCTCTCCCTCCC